AATTTTTTTTCTGCACATGCCAAAAAATTTTCCTAACATACCGTAATTTTTGCGAACATACAAAACATTTTCCGAACATATCATAATTTTTCCGAAAATACAAAATTTTTTCCGGACACAACTTAATTTTCAGAAAACACTAACAATTTTTCCACAGATATAGTTATTTATCGAAATCCACTTTCTCATGCCCTGAGAATTACCTGATTTTTTCTGAATTTACCTGAAAATCTACTGGAAATTTGCCAGCTGAAATTGCTCATGAACAATTATCAGGGGGTGTTGACCGCCCACACCTCCCCCGGTTGCTACGGCCCTGGTTTTACTACGGCATTATGAATCTGACGGGTGGTCAACCACAGATGTATTGATGTTTATGAAACTAAACATCATGAAACCCAAAGAATAGCAATTCTTTCGCCTTTTTTCTCAAAAAGCGACTGAAATTTACAAAATCGTGCAAAAATGAAATATATTTGCAAGAAATCATCAAATCAAGACATGTTTGCTATTTCGCCGTCGTCATGCAGTTGTTGTAATGCAAATTTTAAATTGGAACAATCAGTGTTCGCTATTCATGACAGTCCGCTATATTTTGAGATCAGTGAGAATTACCATCCACGCACGGTCACCCACGCCCGTGATCATTGATGAAGTTTAGACTTCGCTAATGCTTTTCTTTCCCCGGGGGTAAATACAGGGCGGAATTAGTATTTTCGCACGGAGCTCCGCGCCGTTGGCTCGGGGATAATTTAGATTGTTTTATACAGTATAATTTAAGAATTCATATTGTTATTTTTAACTAATTTCTCTTTATTTAATTGTTGAATCTTGAAAATTTAGAACTGTTCACATGCCTGAAACCGATATTACGCGAGCCAACGGCGCGAGTACCGTTGGGACGTTAGCTCGAATGCAAGTGTACTAATTCCGCCAGGCTATTTACACCAGGAGGAAGGAAATTAAAGTATTAGCGAAGTCTTAAAGTTCATCAATATAGTCGTTGGCGCGTGACTATATGATTCATGGCTGTTCATAAACTGTTCGCCAGGAGTACGATAAGCAAGATTTTAAATTTCGAAAACATATATTTGGAACATCACGTTTCGCACAATGAGCTTTGAAGCAATTTTTGTTTGAAGAAATGAGAAGAATTGATTAATATTGGAAATCGTGAAGTATAGAGCAAGTTTGTTATGAATGTTTAATGTTTATGAATTGTGTTGCTTTAACTTCTTGCGTAAAATATTCACTGCTTTCCCTTTTCTTTTCATTTCAATAAAGCTGTAAGTTTTCTAAATTACCTTGCTTAACTTAATTAAGAAAAAAGGTAAAATGTAAAAGATAGCTAATTAATTTAAAGACCTAAACCTAACTGAAATTACTTATCAATTCGAACTTATCCTGTTTTATTAATATTAAGTAAAACAGTTGTCGACAAAAGCAGTCTTATTAATTGAATAAATTACATTTCAAAACATTTTGCGATTTAGCTCACACAAGGCAAAATAACATACCTATTTTTAGCGTTTTGCATGAAAAATATAATAAAAATTTAATATTGCAGTGACGTAAACGCGATCCTGTGTGCAGTGTTGGACAATTACTAATCACCAAGCCAAAGGCGCAGTTCCGGCCGTGAAAAAAATCGTAAAACCTGATGTAGGTGAGCATTGGAAATTGATGTATTTGTTTGCTTTAAAAAACTGATCACGATATAATGAAAAAGACAATGTATTCAGTGCATTGTTTTCATAAATTTCCCTTTTCATTAATTTAAGTTATTGCGATGGCCGCGGGCGGCCTATCGGTTTAAATCCATCTCTGTCGCTGTCGTCGTTTTACATCGACGAGAAATCGACTTTCCATCAGTGGTGTAACTACTATGGGCTCAGACCGGGAGAACCCGGGGGCCCCCAACCCCAATGGGCTAAATGGGGGCCCCCAGGCTTAGGCGATAGAGCAAAAACATTGGCCAGGGCCTATGATATGTTACTATGTCGTTTTATGATCATCAGAATTCTGTAAAATCTCTCCCCAAAGTCCAGGAAATGGCATTTCAGAGAGACTAGATTCAAACATTTTCGGGATGAGCATGCCCTGGACCCCCTAGAAAACTCGTGCATATACGGCGCTCGACTCGTGCCTTTGGCTGACTTCTACTATGGGGGCCTTCGAGAATTTTGAACCGGGGGCCCCTTAATATAACGTTACGCCACTGCTTTCCATCAAGGCATCGCAGGCTCAAAATAAGAAAAACTATGTAAAAAAGTATGTATAGCTATGGATTTATTTGTCATGATTCCTCGAGCAGGTACGTTCTACCATGGATTGTAAAATAACTGGATAGGAAACCAGCTGACGTCACAGTCTAAACCTAGTTGCAATCTGTGACGTCACATGTATTGCCAAAGTTCGCAGCATTTTTGTTGTTTTGCTATATTTTCCGCTTTGAAAGAGTAATATTGAAGCATAAACTGGTCTAATTGTTTTAAAAACATGCCTAAGCCACGACAAAGTATTCAAGGTTAATGTTTTTCGTCTTTGTTTTGTATTTTTTGACATTTGTAGCTACGAAATTGGCGTCGCCAATTTTTACGAAATTTGCGATGCATTTTTCACTGTTTATAGTGCTTGAAATATTTGCTAAAATTGACTGGAAATACTTAGAGATTTTATCGTAGAATGGCTTAGTTATATTTATTTGCTCTTTGACTAAAATGTTTAGCTGTATTATCGTTAAACATGCCGTTTTTGAGAACTTGGTTTGCAACTTGGTTTCAACGCCATCATCCCATTGAAAACATTAGGTTACGTCAGCTAGTTTCCTATCCATGTATTTTATTATCCATGGTTCTAAAAATACGTAAATCGATTTCAATTTGTAACTTGTTTTTTTAGCGTACAAAACACATAATTTTTCAACTCGAGTTTGATTGTTCGAGGCGCTGATGTTGACCCAATAATGCGCCGATCAATTTATACTGTAAACATCCTCCGCTCGGGCATACCCCGGGCATTTTTGTCCTGGTAGTGGGATATTTGACCACAAAATTACAAAAAGTTCAATTGCCCATTTGAAGGTATGCCCAGGCGAGGGATGTTAACAGTATAAATTGATTGGGGTATAAGGTTATTTCAATAATTGAATAGCTTTGCATGCCTTCCCAAACGTGCAAAAATGTATTTTCCACATCAACTTTCACTCTATCCGCATCTGGCCGTTTTCGTTCGTAAATATATAATAGTAATTGAACTGAGTGGTGTGCAATTTGGACTGGGCGAGGGTGAGCCGTGAGGTACCCGGACATTTTGCTGAAAGACACTTCGCTGAAAGACATTTCGCCGAAAGACGTTTTGCCGAACGGACATTTTGCTGACGGATGTTTTATTGCTAAGATTCGTTTTCATGCAATTTTTCTTTCAGAAACAGATAATTTTCAGAACATTTTCATTCCTCGGCAGAAGCTTCGCTTAATTCACACCGTTGCTGAACCCTTACGTTTGCTTTTAAGATTGATGCATTGTTTGCTTAATTAATTAAAAAACAGATCTTGTAACGCGTTATTGTGTTTCACAAATGTACATTATTTATTCACCCTCAATATTACAGTATATTTGGAAAATATCGTGGTTTTGTTAGAAAGGTGATGAGGATGGGGATGCATACATGTATTTTTAGTAACTATTTTTTAATGACACCCAAACTTTGTTGTTAGGGACCACAAACCATCAATTTAAGAGTAGACAGTCGGATATAAAATTCTCCAGATCTAATTTCCATAAAGTTGGCATATTGGTGTGGTCACCGAAGCTAATAATTGCAGAAGGCAAACGATTGGTTATTTCATAAGACAAATATCAATAGGTTAAGTCGATAGGATAATCGTTTCATCTAGTACAAAAATCTAAAAGAAAGATCAAACTTGACGTTGCAACACCACATACTATGGTGGGGGCCTTTTGGGGCAAACCTATGTAATTAAGGTTCAATTCCTGTCAGGGACCTAATTCCTGGCAGGTTTTTAAATTTCTACCTGAGACCTAAAGTTGCATTTTTCGCTTCTGTTCCTGATTTGGTCTAATAAATGTATATAAATTTCCACTCGATTACAATTTCCATCAACAATACTCATCCAACACTATTTCATGCAAAAAATTATGTTTGCATTCGTGAATAGTAAAAATATTTTCACTTGCTGAGAATTTTCCTTTTCACAAGGTGACACAAAGTTTCAGTTTAGCATTTTTTCTCATGAGCTTTCGTTACTGATTATAATTATATATTCAAAGTATATTGTCGTTCGTGATTGGTCAAAATGTGTCGGATAATTCTAGGTACAGGTACAGTGTATCTTGAAGCCGTTGCGTTATTTCAGCTGCTGACGCCATTAGCGTGCAATAATACAAAAAAGTATTGTTGTACGGTTTGTTAAAAAAGCGCGCGAAAGTTCCATATTTTTAAAAGTGTAAACGAAAAGGCTTTGCTTTCTTTCTTTCTGGCTTTTGGAAAAATAATAAAACAATTACTGAGTTCAATTTTCGTATGATATCGAGAATTATCAAGGCCCCGGTTTGTGTTATCTACCTCAGCCTTCGGCTTCGATATCAAACTCAACCTCATTCACTTGTTTTATTATATACATGTAACACCTCATTAAATTCGGGTCAACACGCTTAGTCGTGCAGTTTTGTACTATAGCTTAAGGTTTTGTTTTCATTAAATTCCATCCTTTAGAATCTTAATCGTATTCGAATCGTGAGTTAACCAGGTGGGTAGGAAGAATACAGTACATTTAATCTTTCACTTTTTACATTATTATATTTAACTCTTTATTTTTTGGGACGTATTTGTTGGATTCCTACTAAGTTTCAACATTCTACATGCAACTCACGAAACTTTGTGTTTGATTTAGAAAAGGTAGGCTCTGTGTAGGCACATCACACTGCTGCAAGTTTCAAGTAAGTGGTTAGAAACAGTTATATTATGATAATTTTACCTGAAGAACATTCTACTCCTGCGTCTTGATGATGCCCACAATTATTATTTCCCCATCCATTATGAGAACAATTAATTAGACTCTGCTCATTTCCATTACATCTGACATTATCTAACCATATCTGTCCAGTACCATCAGGTACTTGGTACCCCCAAAGAAATCTAACAACATATGGATAACCAAGTTGACGACATACAACCCTAGCATCGTTTATGTCCCAATAATTATGACAGATTGTTCCCCATCGTCCAATGTAGTACACTTCCACACGACCAGTACCATTGAAAGCTGATGGTCCTATTAACCGAACGGCTATCAATTTCTCTGTAACAAATAAAACAAATGTCTTAGCAAAAAATGAAAATGACAAGTATTTCGACTGCAGCATTAGTGATCAGAAAACCAATACCAGCCGACAATTTCAAAAAATATAGTACAAAACCTAATCCGAAGATAAGCATCTTGAAACCCAAAATATGAGTAAAACAAGATAGTGAGTGAGTAATATTTGGATTTTATTACAAAATCATCATCAGACTAACTGTATATTGTAATTATAGTTGGTGTGATGATGATATTGCAATAAAATTGAAATATTACTCACTCACTTTCTCGTTTGATTCATATTTAGGGTTTCAAGATGCTTATCCTCGGATTATGTTTTGTACTATATTTAGTGATCAGAATTGCAATTATTAAATTGGAGGTATTCTGTAATAGATAGAACATGATATAAACTTTTCGTCAGCTGTTAGAGTGTTGACTGTGTATCTTGGTAGCAGTCACGTGGCTTTCCATGGAAACTAGAGGTGTGCAAATTAGTCAACCTGAATCTATTCCTGTTGTACCTATATTTTCCATAACATTGGCAGATAAATAATTTTCTAGGAGTATTATTCAATTAAGATTAATAGAAATTACTCTGGATGATAGTGCTTTCGAACAATTTGAATGTTTACTCAACTCCGGATAACCTTGCACTATTCACCTTCGGCAAAATTAAAACGGCGTCCCGTTTCGTTCCGGTTTCAACGAAGACGGTTTTATCAAACAAAAAGAAAGCCACAAAGTTTTGTTCTGGCAGTTTGTAGAGGTATTCTTTAAAGTTATTTCTAATGAATAAAATTACTGAAAGTGTATAAATACTGTTTTATTTAAAACTATTAACAAGAGCTCAAGGACAATTTTTTTAACCATATTGTTCCAAACGAATATTTTTATGGGGTCGTAAAAGAAGCCAAATAAGATTTAAAGGGCCCTACAGTCATTTTTTAGTCGAAAGGCTTTTCGACTAAAAAATTACTGTGGGGCCCCTCTACATATTAAATACATTAAAAATTAAAATATCAAAACTACTGGTTCAAGCGTAAAGTTTTAATTGGGATTTTTGTTGGGTGCAATCGATTTGTTTTCTTGTCGTGCAATCGGATTCGATTCAAAATTTTCGTGCATGATTACTATGCTAGGTATACACGGGAAGGAGTGCAATTAATGATTAAAGCTCGCTATACAATCAGAATCGTTTTATTTGCACTTATTTCTTTCTTACAAGATTATGTATTACTAGTATACTATATATATATTTACATTATATTTCATAATATGTATTTACAGATGAAGAGTGCGTAGTGGTCAAAGGAGCAGAAGCTTTCGAGTTGACCACTACCATTATGAGATTATATTTGAGTATTTAAAACTAAATTAAAAAAAAGTTGATCTCTATAGTATTTATTGCTAAGGTTTCTAAGTGTATAGTATAATTTACAAAACTTATTTTATATATGAGATTACTATAATATCATTTTTTTAATAACATATACAGTAAGTCTAGTCAAATCTGTCCTGTAACTCTACTTGACTATTAAGTAAAAACATTTTATACTGTTTTTTGAAACTATAAAATGGCAAAGATTTAATCTGTATAGGAATTTTTTCCCATATTTTGGAAGCTTTTGTTTTGAATCGGGTTAGCCCGTAATTTGTTCTAGAAGCTGGTCTGTATAGGTTCTGCTTGGAGGCATATCTGGTGTTATAACTATGAACATCAGATGCTTCCATAGTTAAATTTAATAAGGCTTTAGGAACTTCTGTTTTCCGAATTATTATTTTATAAACAAGAGATGATATTTTCAGGTTAAAGATATTTTCAAGTTTCAGTATTTCGAGAAGTTGAAAATAGGCCGTTACATTTTCGTTTGTTCTTGAGAAAAATATTGCACGAAGACATTTGTTTTGTTTAGTTTTTATTTTATCCAATCTAGTTGGACAGGCAATGCCCCAACTCATGATACCGTAATTTAGGTAAGGATATATTAGTGTGTAGTAAAGTTGTTTTAGCATATGAATGGATACGAAATGTCTTAGTTTATTTATAACTCCAGTGTTCTTGGCTATTTTGTTTTGTATATGTTGCAGTTGATCATCCCATTGTAGATGCTCATCGATAAAAACACCCAAATACTTTATTTTCTTTTTCCTTTCTATGTCGCATGTTTTTATTGTTATATCACTTTTTTCCTTGGTGATGTAATTAGCATGTAATTT